CTAAGACAGGAAATTACTGGGAGGAGGAGGTTGTTGTTGTTGTTAAGCGCCGTCGAGTCGTTTCCGACTCATAGCGACCCCATGCACAGCAGAACGAAACACTGTCCGATCCCGCGCCAGCCCTACAATCCCTGCTATACTTGAGCTCATCATTGCAGCCACCATATCAATCCAGGGAGGAGGAGGAGGAGGAATTAATGTCTGAAATGATGGAGTGGCATGATAGTTTGGACATTTGGGACATCTTGAACCTCCGCCTCGTGGAGACTGGCATTGTGCTGATCTTTCTAAGAGAAATTGTTCAAGCAAGGGGGAAATAATGTGTTGAGGAGGTAGGAAAGAATCACTGTGTCAGACACTACAGATTGGGCCTGAGAACTGGCCATTAAATTAAGCAACATGGAAATCATTGACCAAGGGAAGAGCAGTTTTAATGGTGATATGGAGATAAAAAATATGATTGGAATGGATTGAGAGAATATTTAATGAACACATACTACTCTTACTAACTATAAACTCCTTACAGGCTGGAACTGTGCTTTGTTCACTACTGTAGCCTATCACTTAACACATTCCTGGCATGTATTAAGGACTCAGTAAATATTTGCTGAGTTAATGAATAAATGACTAGGTTTATTCTCAAGAATATTACCATCTTTCTGCAGAAACTATGGTAGAAAAGACCATAAGCTCTTTTAACTTTGCTACCATTACCCTATGCTAGAAACTTTATTATGGTACTTACCTGTGAGATATTGTAAACATTAGTTCACATGTGTGACTCATCCACTATAGTGAGACACATGGTGCCTGGCACAAAGCATTTTATACAGAATAAATGAAAGCATGAATAAATGGAAGAATTATAAACATACCCAGAATGAATTATAATACAAATGCAATTATATAGGAAATTATAATATGCAATGTTTCTAATTATATATAATTCAGTTTTAAAATATATATGATAAAAAACATAGCAGTATAGGTATAATAAGGAAAGTCCAAAAAAGTTTACAGAAGAAAAGACATTTGAGGCAGGCTTACAGAAAAACTTACAAAGCTTTGCTTAGTGGATATGGTAGAAAAAGAACATTCAAAGAAGAAAATTAAAAAGCATATTAATATAAAAGCAGTGTCTGTGTTCAGATCATTGTAAACTCAGGAGTAGAACATGTGTAGGGAGGCACATAGAAGTGTATCCTAATGCTCTATTTCTTGTGTTAATAATAATAATCAAATTAAATTTGCATAGCATGCTACTGTTTTCAAAGCATATTTTGACATGTATGATATTATCCTTATAGTATCTCTGTGATATAGTTAAGACAGATGCTAATTTCCCTATTGGGAGCAAAGAATTTGGAATTCATAGAAGTTAACTGACTTGTCCATGGTACTGGATCAGGAACTGGCAGAGCTGAAACAAATGCAGATTTTTTTGATTCTAAGCCCTTGGCTCTTTTCCCTAAATCACAGTAGCCTTGCAAGCCTGACTAAGAAATTTATACTTAATTTGATGTGTAGTGGGAAACTATTGGCATTGGCGTGTTAGAGCAGGGAAGTAGTTTCTTCAGAGTTGCATTTCTAGAAAGATCAATTTGGCTAAAGGAAAGATTAGAGCAGATTGAAACTGAAAGCTGGGAGAACAACTATGAAACATTTACAGAAGTCTATACAAAAAGGAATGAGAAACAAAGTTGTACCAACTAAATTTGATGTCCCCTGAGACCATGGTCGCACAGGCCTGGTGACTCTCTTCCTCAAGGTGCTTGGTTGTGGCTAAGAAGCTACCCCAATTTTGTCCCCTGTTAATTCTGTAATGTATATGGATATTTTTGTAAGGGCTCTAAATCTCTATAGGAGCAAGATGCCTCATCTTTCTCCTGCTGAGTGGCTGGTGAGTTCAAACCACCTATCTTTTGGTTAGCAGCAGATGTGTTAACACTGTGCCACCAGAGCTCCTTTTTTAACTGTGTTCAGAATATTGGTATTGTTGTGATTATTTATATGGTGAGTTTTAAATCTAGCATCTTAATATATTTGTTCTGTTTGTCCCATCAACACTTTGTTCTCTTTGTCCTTTTTGTCTCCAAACCCTATGGAACACAATTCTACTCTGACACATGTGGGATAGCCATGAGTTGGAATTACTCGATGGCAGTTGGTTTTTGTTTTCTTCTTTGAATTATTTTTTTTCTGTGATTATATTTCATCTTCTTTGTTTGGTATATTACCTATAACCCTTTGTGTGTCTTCTTTAGCATTTATACAGTGTCTCTTTAGCAGGGATAATTTTGCCTGCCAGAGGACTTTTGGCAATGTCTGGAGATATTTTTATTACAACTTGGGGAGTGCTACTGGAATCTACTGGGTAGAGACCAGGGATGCTGAAAAACATCCTACAATACAAAGGACAACTCCCCATGACAAAGAATTATCCAACTCATAATCTCAATGGTGCTGAGATTAAGAAACTCTGTCCCCTGACACTCTCTTCCACCAATTACTGCCCCAAGACAACCCACTCCATCAGGAAGCCTCCTATCCAAAAGGTACAGCTTTCTCACTCTGTGGGCTAGCAAACCTGTTGCTCTGTCTCGTGCCAGTTTTTCTGCTGTGCTATCAGCACAGGGATCTCAGGTCCAAGAACGCACTCCACTCTTGCTTCCATATTTCAGGTATCTGTTAGGGCAGCACCCCACTTTTGGTACCAAATTCTGTCTTAGTCCTTTAGTACTGCTGTAATAGAAATATCACAAATGGATGGCTTTAACAAACTGGAATTTATTCTCTTACACTTTAGGAGCCTAGATGTTCATATTCAGAGTGCCAATACTGGGCTGAGTGAAGGCCCCTCAACCTTCGGTTTCAGTTCTGCCTCTTATTCCAGGCCCATTGGATCTGGAGACTTCTAACTCAGGCAGCTGCCAGCTGCTGAGGCTGATGAACCCAAGACTGACAGGTAAAATTGCACAATCCCTAGATGGGCAGACAACACAGAAGACCACTGTTCAAGCCCAGAAACAGTCCCAAGATCAGCAGACAGCATGACCGGCCACTGGTTCAAGTCTAGGAACTGGAGATGAAGACTTGGCCAAATGCAAGATCCAAGTGTTCCAAAAAGCTAGAGACCTTTCTCAGAGCTTCTCCATATATATTGAAAGCCAGCCACACCTCAAAGGCAACTATTTCACGGCTCATAGTACATTCCACCATGGAGCTGATTACACCACATCCAATCTCATCATGGGGAATAATTGCATCCAGCTGCCAAGCTCCTCAAAGTCACAGCCCAGCCAAGTTAACATAGAACATTAACTACCACTTACAACAATGAATTAAAAAAAATAAGAGTGGCTGCTGAGGCTGCTGATATATTACCAAATACCTCATAGGATTTGGTTCCTTGGTTTAGAGGTTAGGGTTAGGGTTTCATGGGACATCCCAGTTATTTTCATCATTTTGGCCTAATAATGTGTTTAGTACTTCTGTTCTACTTCCTAGTTCCTGGGGTCTTAAAAGCTTGCAAGGGGCTGGCCAAGGCACAATTGGCCTCTGTTCACTTGGAACAACGGAAGAAGGATAGTCAGGAATAGGAGAAGGATATGGAATGTGTGACTAATTACTTCATGAACAACTGCTTCTGTGGCCATCAGACAAGAAGAACTGGATGGTGCCCAGCTATCATTACTGAACATTTTGATCAAAGATTCCATATCAAAAAGAGGAAAATGAAGAACAGCATTTTAAATTCATATGGACTCTAGACTGTCTAGAGCCATGGAAGCTGGATAAACCCTGTGCAAAAAGGACAAGGAGGCCACATGTTCTGGCCTCCTAGAACCCCACAAGAGTAAGGCAGAATCACCATCAATAGCCCAAGGCCTATTCCTGCGAGGCCAGACATGCTTCCTCTGGTACCATAGTACCTAAGGCATTTGACTGCTAACCAGAAGGCTGGTGGTTCAAACCCACCAGCCACTCCTCAGAAGGAAGGCTGGGCAATCTACTTCTGTAGTGATAACGTCTCAGAAACCCAAGGAGGGGGTCTCTATGAGTCGGGTTGGACTCAATGGCAGTGGAAGTTTCTAGTGTACTCTTCTGAATATATTCTGTGTTGGTTTTTTCTTCCAAATATGGATAATTTATTTCTGTTACTTTGTACTGCTTTTAGTTTTTTATTAGATTCCAGTCATTTTGAATTTTACCTGTTTATTGATGTATGTGGTTTATTCATCTAAATATTCTTGACCTTTATGTGGGGATGTAGTTAAATTGCTTGGAAATAGTTTGATCATTTCAAGGTTTACTTAATGGTTTTTTAAGTGGGGACCAAAAACCCATTAACCCATTGTTATCAAGTCAGTTTTGACTCATAGCAACATTGTAGCACAGAGTAGAGAAAATCTCAAAATTAATTGAAAATATGTATGAGTATGTGTACACACACAGACACACACTTCCCAGGCAGTAAACTTAGGAAAAAAAAATTTACCATTGAGGTAAAGAATCAAATTTTTGTATTCCTAGATCCTGTTCCTTTAAGTCTATTATAAAATCTCCAATTAACTTGGAAAGTGGTAATAGAAAGCACAGTGCTTCCTAATACCTTTTTTTGAGACATTTTGAAATATCTCATCCATCTCAAAAATACTCAGAGGATCTCAACACTGATAAGGACCTTTATTTTCTTTGTGCAACCTGAAAAGTACACCCTTGTATTAATATGCTGGTATTCCATTTGGATTAGCCATGATCTTGAGTGTAGCCTTTGATGAAATAAAGACATTCTTTGGAATAACCCTTAGCACAAGTGTCATCTGTATTTGTAATGTACGTAGAAATCATTATATAATACAGTATTTGTGGTAATAACTGTAATTATGTACATTCTTTTCATTAATGGAGTAGAACAGAAAGTACTGGTAACCATTCTAATTATCTTTTTTATTTTCTCTTTATCCATCTCCTGTGTACGGTTCTTTTTCCACTTGCAGCTTTATGCCATCCCTTGGTTTCTCACCATGTTTACCCGTAAGTATCATTTTCCCTTCCCTTTTGATATGATACTAGCAAAACGATGGCTCCATTCTGCCCCAATACATTATATTTATGCTAATATTTAGCAGGCTTGATAAACATTCTTATATAATTCTAACATAATAGATTTTGGTAAAAAAAGAATTTCAACTTTTCTGGCCTCTGAAAATCAAAAAGAAAATTTTATAGAATGAAACTATATGTCATAACATTCACATAATCTGTGCCTTCTATTGAAAAGAAGTTATTATTTGCTGTAGTATTTACATAAAATTTTGGAGGGTAATTTTTCCAGCAAATGAGTTATAATTTTTAGAGGTTTTCTCATAACATATTCTTTAGTTATTTCCTAAACTAGGATTGCACCTATAATTAAACATTTTGTGAATATGTAGTATTTTATTCAGTACAAATATTAGAACAGTTATAGTAGACATTCTTGCTTAATTATATACACATAAGTGGAATAAGGTATTGAAAGTAGATCTGTAAGAATTGACCTGGAAAGATATCCTCAGTATATTGTTAGATGCAAAAAGAAAATAATAAACTTGCAAAAAAGAGAAAATTGTCAATAGTATTTTTTAGTGGAAGTCTAGTAAAGCAGTTGTTTAGCGTGTTTAATAAAGATGTAGTAATATTGTGTCCAAAGCAATACTAAAGTTAATCTGGGAAAGTAAACTTATGAAAATAATATAAACTGAAAAATTTGGGGAAGAAATATAATAAAGGGAAAAACTATGCCAGCATTGTTAATGCAGGTTAGAAAATGCCATCTGTGTGGTCAATCTGATTATCTATTCTTTATGGTGTCTTAAAAAAAAAAAACACTGTCATTGACTAGATTCCAACTCATAGAGATCCCCATTGGGTTTCCAAGGCTGTAAATCTTTATGGAAGTAGATTGCTTCATCTTCCTCCCACAGAGCAGCTGGTGGCTTTGAACCACCAGCCTTCTGGTGAGCAGTGAAGTCCCTAACCCACTGTGCCACCAGAGCTTCTTTAAGGTGCCTAGGAGGCAATAAATCTACAAAGCCAAATAAGTTTTGACCATAAGGTAATATCCAAGTACCTAGTAAAACTTGTTACTATTCTAATTTTTATTATCTTGTGTTTTCTTTTTAATTTTAGTTAATTAATTAATTTGTTTTGTTATGTTACAGATGTATTTCCACTACACAAAATTTTTCACCTCTGGGATACCTTACTACTTGGGAATTCTTCTTTCCCATTCTGTATTGGAGTAGCAATACTTCAGCAGCTACGGGACCGCCTTCTGGCTAATGGCTTTAACGAGTGCATTCTTCTCTTCTCTGATTTACCAGGTATAACTCTAAAAAAATGGAATCAATAAATGAAATTGGACTGTAAAGTAATACAACATTTTTAAAGCCCTTTGTAAAAGATAATCATCCAACCCTTCAGAATCTCTTCTGCTTAGACATTATCAATCTTCTCTACTTTCTCTCTTTTACATACTGCTTCTTCTACAGGTCCAGCATTGTAGATACAGAACTGGGCCATATTCGTTTATTGTGGTTTAGTTTCATCTCACAGGGAAATGACCACCCGGAGGGTAAAAGAGCACAGAAAAGAAGGCCATTTGCCTTCTTCAGCATTTTGCTTGGGAAGGTCTGTTTATCTTCAGCTTGTGAAAGCCTCTTGGAAGGTGTTGGAGAAATGTGAACTACTAACCAAAAGGTTGGTGGTTCAAACACACCCAGAGACACCTCAAAAATAAGCCCTGGCAATCTGCTTCTGAAAAGTCACAGCCTTGAAAACTCTGTGGAGCAGTTCTACTCTGCACACTTGGAATCACATGAATGGGAATTGACTGAATAGTAACTAACAAACAAATGATTATACAAAGATGTAGCTCACATGGAACTTTACCCCTTCTGGTCATAGCTACTTTCAACAATTTTGACAGATTGAGGAAGGGAAACACTATCCTTTTGGGAGATCAGATCACACTCCAGGGAAATTCTGCATCATGAAATGCAGGATGGTAAATTAAGCTATTCATAAGTCAAGAGATCTATAAATTTAGGAGTTGAATGCTGAAGTGTAGAAATATGGATGACAAATATACTCTGAGATTTGATGCTATAGTTAAAAAGATAAAGTGCACTTGGTTACCTATGATGTAGCAAAATCTGTGGAAGAAAAAACTATTATAGAAACTAAAATGTTTTTGAAGTTTAAAAATTGTATTTTATTGCCTCGATACCTTCTGTTCATTCTATTGCTATTCCTTATATTTTCACACAGGCACAAGTAACTGCTGATAATAAACATACTTAAAATTATCCAAGAGATATATTTGCCTGAATACCAAACAAAGAACTAAAGAAATGTACCTTAGGATTATATATTAAGTACTCTCAAGAAGAATAAAGACCTGCTGCCTAACCTGATTTTTTTATTTTTAGTGGATCATCTGTACCTGATACTCTACCATTTCTCTGTCATTTACAGTCTTTTTTTGGGAAACTAATAACAAAAATGCTTTGGATTTTTTAAAAAGTTCTTGTCCCTTTTTCTCCACTCCCCACAATTAAAAGTATCACCATCAGCTTTCTAACTTACCAAATGGAGAATTAAAATTAGTCATTTTGTATATGAGCAAGTAGTACTTTACTATTTTTTTTTCTGGGACGATTGTTTACAAAAATTAACCTACTTTTTTTCCTCCCCTTTTGGTGTTGAACTGTAACAAAAAAGCTAGTTTCACAAACTGGGAAAGCTGTCTGTATCCTACAGATGTTTTTCTATCATTCTCAACTTGTCACAGTAAACAAAGGGTGATTGATTAGGATTAAGGGAATTTTTCCAGGCAGTTCTAAAAAAAAAAATTTAGGAATGCTGATTGTTCGTTTTCAAGTAAAGCAAATTTAATGCTTTTCCAATTTTGTACATTTCAATGCTCCAATTGAGCACTAACGAAAACATCTGTTTTCATATTATATAAATAGATTAGTGGTAGCTCTGCTGTGCATTAAACAAATATATTATTTCATAAATCACAAAGTAAGAATATGTTTGTTAAAGCTATTTGAAAAGGTTAACTCAACTTACTTTTGAAAACAGTGTATCTTTTGTTGTTGTTATGTGCCCTTGAGTCGGAGCTTACTCTTAGCGACCCCTCCTTGGGTTTCCGATGTGTATCACTACGGAAGTAGATTGCCGCATCTTCCCTCTGAGGAGTGGCTGGTGGGTTTGAACCACCAGCCTTCTGATTAGAAGTCAAGTGCCTTAGACACTATGCTGTCAGAGCTCCTAAGTGTATCTTTAATTGATGTGAATTACTTGATGAGCAAGAATAATGACTAAGGATCAGTGTATCTATAATTGATGTGAATTACTTTGATCCTTATTCATTATTCTTGCTCATCACTTATTTGGTCCCTGTAAATATTCCTGTTGACGGAGAAAAAATTGTATAAGAAAAATATGACCTTTTTTGTTTAAAACAAAAAGAGTTTAAGTGTAAACTGTGTACTGTGCCTTTAATTATACCTGATTTTTGTGTGTGTGTGTGTGTGTGTATAGTTTTTAATCAAAGTATGGGATGTCTATTTCCCCACCACCACCACCATCATTCCCCCACCCAACTGTGCTTAACAGCTGATAGACTCTCCTGAGAAACTGGGAAGTGGTCATGGAACAAGTCGTAAAAAGTGAATCCAAGGTACAAATACCAGAGACAAAGCTGCCACTTGTCACAGTGGCAGACACTGTCAAAGCAGATTGGCAAAGTCACTGTTCAAGATATCATTGACAAGTAACATAATGGAAATGTCACCCAAATGATGAGTTGTTCTTTTTGTTGTTATTGTTGTTCTTGTTTTTTTTAAATAATCCTTTCAAGTTTTTCTGCAGAAAGAGACACCCAGCAACCTCATTATTACAGTGTAGAATGTGGAGCCAGATCACATAGATTCAGATCCTGGCTCTACCACTTAGAGTTGCATGACCTTAGGGAAGTGACTTAACCTGTTTGTATCTGTTTCTTTATCTCTGATTATATGAGAATAATAATGGTATCTACAACAACAACAACAACAACTGTATAAGTTTGTTATATTAATGAAAAACTTAGAGCAGTACTTGACAAAGAGCAAGTGTTATGTCAGTGATTATTATTAACAATATCATTATTACTGTTATTATGCTTTTCTCCATTTTTTCTCCTTCTACCATGACATGCTTTCCTATTGGTACTATAAATGCAATATTTACCCCCTTTGGGGTGGCATAGTGCCTAAGGCACTTGACTGCTAACCAGAAGGTTGGTAGTTCAAACCTACCGGCCACGCCTCAGAAGGAAGGTTGGGCAATCTACTTCTGTAATGATACTGCCTCAAAAACCCAAGGAGGGGTCACTATGATTCAGATGTGACTTGACAGCAGTGACTTTGGTTTTTGGTTTTATAAATAATTTAAGTAGGTATCAATCATATCTATTAACTTGCTAGCATAAGCTAATAAGGAATTACCTAAGAAAGCAAGTAAGCCCTCAGTGTTAAGTGTATATTATGTACAAGAAGAATATCTCTTTTCATTGCTAAGAAACATCATAACATAGTGAATAGAGTGCATAGACTGGAGTCACACTGACATGGATCTGAGCCCTTGCTCCACCACTCAATAGTTGGGTTAATTAGGAAACATGCAGTATAATGCTGCTACTGGAAGAGTATGGTCTCTTAGAGATACTTTGATTAAATAGATTAAATTAAATAGATACAACTTTGATTGAGAGATACTCATGAGTTTACATCCCAACTCTGTCACGTAATGGCTGTATGAACTTGGGTGAGTTATTTAATCTCACTGGAAACACAGTGCTATCTATATATTATGGAAGTTTCAGTTAAAATGTCATTGTTGTTGTAAACATTAAAGATAATACACATAATGCACCTGGCACAAAACCTAGCACAGAGTAGGTATAACTGTTTTTTTTTAAAGAGCATATAGCATCTAATATTGAATGAACATTCAACTTATATTAGTTCCCTCTCCTTTCTATCTCCTTTCCTTCATTTTGTGCTAACCCTTTAACTCTTGGAAAGAGAACTCAGTAGGAAAGCATAATTATTTCTGCCAAAAATTGTTCCCACTTCTATTGCTTTATAGTAGATGATAGAGTGTGATGTTACATTCCATGGTAGCACAAGTGGTAGAAAATTTTGCTGAAAGTGCTTGATGTGTCTTGGTATTTGTGCCGTTTTATACTAGAGGAAATGCCTATGAGCTATTGTTCATATGCTCTAAAAACAGAGACTGAGTATTTTGAAAGAGATACTGTGTTTCCATAGCACCATCCAATGCTAGATTTTGGCCATTGATGCTAAGAGAGCAGTTACCATGGTTACCACCATTTAAACCAATTACACCTTGAGATTTGTTAACCCTCATTCTGCTCTAGCTCTCTGACATCATTCTGCTGTATTGTCCATTTTCCTGATTTATTTTGATAATATATCTTAAGATGACTATGATATTTGAATACAATAAATAATTTGAATCAAAAAAGTTACAATTTTAATGTGGATTGGTAACATCTGAGATATTTAATTTTTATTTTTTATTTTATTGGTATATTCCCTTTGTACATTTCGAAATTAATTGAACATACTGATGTTGCTCTATATGGTTGAAATAAATCTTAGAATTCATATCTTTGGATCCGTAAGCATCTTCAAAGACAACATTTAGAGGCAGATAAGAAGTCTTTCTTAGAGAACACGTGGAAAGGAAATGAGAAATCTATATTAAAAAAAACCTTATTCTCAGAGATTAAAATAGTGATTTTAGCTTTAAGAGAAAGAAATATGTATATACAAACTATTTTAGAAGGAAATACTGTATATACTAAAGAAACTTTAATATATAGAAATTAGCATAAAAAATCAAAATTGTATGACGTTTTATTATAGAAGCTTAATTTAAAGGAAATTTTTAAATATATTGAAAATTTTATTTCATTATAACTTACCTACTTTACAATAAGATTTAAGTTTCAATGGGAATATGAAAAATAGTGATAACATTGCAGTTATGTAACAATTCATTGGCTCCTTGAAAATATTGTTGTCTTAGGTGGCTAGGTAAATGTATTTATCTATATTGACTTAAAGCACTTTTGTAATACTTTCTTTCTCATTATTTAGCATAGCATGAAATATTTCATGAAAGCAACACTTTTTTTAAGAAACAGTTATATATGCCTAGTTACTGCCTAAGATCTATAATAAGAAATCCAGGCCATTTTCTCAAATGACACGCAAATATGTTGGTACTAAAACAAAAAGTATCA